CGAATACAAAACAGCAAAAGAAAAATCTGCCGAAAGTTTCACTTTTCGATTTGTTGAAATAGAATAATCATAATTTTTTTCTTTCTTATCATACTTACAGAGAAAGTGAGTTCCACAACATTCTGGCAGGTAAGGCCAGCAGATGTCAACTTACCGACGATCACAGAACGGCGCCAATAAAAAACTGCCAGCCTTGACATATATGATCTATTATTGGCAAATGATCGATATTACTTATCGGGCGAAGATGCTGAGTCAACCAACTATTCGATTCTGGTTAATGCTAACCCAGTAATCCTGCTTCAGTCTCAAATTCAGAGTGGAAGCTTCCGACTGGGCAAACAGAGAAAAGAACCTTCACATGATCACCATGTCACGGAGTCTCTGAGCAGTGAGGAAAATGACACACGATAGGGATCACAGAGAACTGTTGTGTTGCGAGGAAACTGACACATAATGGGGATCACAGAGAACTATTTACACAACGCTTTCTAGGTTTTCTCGGAGCAACAATCTTGCTGCATTCATTATCAGGATTAATGGCATGCGGTGTTGCTCCCAGCGGCTCGCACTTTCAAACTCCTTGGATTTCTAGCTTTGCCAAATTGTCCAGGAAGAGAGTGAACTACCTGTTGAGAACTTTTAGAAGAGATGTCCCTTTTTGCATCTTCATGTTTGGGTTTTAGCCGCAAAGTATGGCACAGATTTTGGCATGACTGCCCTAGGCTAGATCGGGTTTATCTCCTCGTCGACTGACCCTTGTCTGATTGGCATTGATTGACGTGAATGATTGAAGTTGCAACTATCTTGATTACTTTTCCTCACTACGGCAGGCAGCGGTGGGAACCTCCTATCCGAAAAAACACAATTCTCAGTGTGTTAGACATCCGGCACCAGTCAGCTGAACAACAATACTATCACAAGTAGACTTATCATAATGCTAATAAGATCAAGAGTATCTTACTAAGACCAAAATGGATTAAGCGCTTTTGGCCATATCAGGCTTCAGAGAATAAGACTGAGATTAATCACATATACTGAAAGCAAGTGCTATCTGAATAATTTTCAGTTGAAAAACTGCTTGTCCTAAGTCTATTATTTACCAATGCCTTGATGGACTGCTGAATTCTTTCACATTAGATGTTTGGTCAGGAAGAGAAAAACCATCATCATATAAAGTTCAATGCATAACAAACATCAATGGAAAGTCCATTTCAATTCCTATTTCACCCCCAGAGGAGAAAAAAAAACACCCTTCAGATTGTCCCTAAAAGACCTATCGAATGAACTTTGTGCCCGAAATCCATACTAAGTAGACAGTCTCAATCTTTCTTTCTCCAGTTCCTAATACAACAACAATTTGAGGCCAATTGCATGGATCCTTTTCCACCATTAAGATCTTTTTAATAAAATGTCACTGTTCAACTAAATATTATCTAATATTTCTTCAATGTTTTTAAATAGAGATTCTTTGGTCCTCTTCCTCTCCTTGCAACATAATCTTATTGACTCAACTCATTTAGCCAGAGCTTTTGTAGGTTTCCTTTAAACGTATTGATATCATCTTAATAATATCATCAACAAGCAAAATGCACTAAGTCCATCTTTTGTGACAATGATATGTTTCACATCAGAAACCTGCTAACGAAATTCTAAGGCATACACAGGAAATGTTACCTTAATTAGAGCTTCTGTCGATTGTCCATATTCTGATTCATCCTCTTCCGAGTCATCAATCTCCTCACATTCAAACTCCGCATTTGCACTTTCATCATCAGAGTCACTCAATTCTTCTTGTTCCATTATGATATCTAGATTAGATTCATCATAATCTTTTGAGCATTGGCTTAGACAATCATTGGGCATCTGCACAACTTCCAAGGAATTGACATCCTTTTCACAGCATCCTCTTGTACTGCAGATTCAGAACAATTTGCATTATGGTGGAATGACATATCAGCATCTATGCCTTTACCCATGCTTGGCTGAAACCTTGGGCTGCCCGACTTGTTGAACTGATGCATACTTGAATCTCCAGCTTGTCTTGTCTTTTCATTTTCTGTCACTGAATACAAGTGTATGTTCAAATCAAGTTCATTTTCCTTCTCATGATGGCAAAGGGATGCTCCACCAGCTGGAATTTGGCTATTACCAACCAGATTTTCTCTTGAGACTGGATTAGAATCATGGGACAATTTATTATGATGACTTGATGCTGCAAAAACACCAGGATCAACTGAAGACACCATACCATGATCAGCAGTTGCATTGTCAGTTCTTTGCAGAAGTGGATGGAAGTCAACTGAAAACAAATCTAATGGTGCATCTACTGAATTTCAACTTCCACTGATCCTGTCTTTCATAGTAATAAAATGTTGAGATTTGGAGAAAGTGGATTCTTTTTGAAGTTGAGCCCCCAGGTGACAAGTACCAGAAGCAGCAGTATGTCTGTTCATAGAATAATATGATGAAAGTTGATCTTCAGATGCATGGAACAGCAATCGGTGTATCTGGAGATCTGATTGTGAAGCATTTTCTTCCGCCACATGCTGATCTGAAGTAGCTCCACCAACTCGCCAGTGACTAGCTTCTAGACCATTATCTGATGGCATGTTTAAATTTTCGCCAGGATTTGTTACAGTATTTACTCCCTTTGCCACACCAGAAGACTTGGATGGATTTCTGACTCCATTCTAGCTTGTGTAAGAATGTGCTGATCTGGTAGGATGATTTTGGAGAGCTGACTGAGATATGACACGAACAGAAGGGGGAAGGTTTATAGGAGGCAAGCCAGGTGCCAACTTGACCACTCGTGCACCTTTACATTTACGTGTTGGGCAGGTAATGACCGTAAATGACTTCCAGGTCTCCCGAAGTTGGAAATGGAAGAAAGATGATTCAACTGTGAAGTGTAAGATGAAGTATATCTGGGGTCAGAACAATGAGATAAAGGATGCACTGCTCTGTCACTCTGCACTTGAAAGCATCCTGAGATGGAAGCAAACTTTTCAGTAGTGTTGGTACCATGATAGATAATCATGTTGGTAAACTGTACATTGGTCCTACCAATGCCTGAAAGAGAAATCTCATAGGATAAGTTATTGGAGCTCCCTGTTTCGGAGTCTGCAAGGAATGCTTCATGAACGTAAGCTTCATTTTCATTGTCCATTTCCTCTCCACTATTATCCTCTTCATTATCAACCTATAAAATCATGCAGCCAATGAATACAATGAAATAATACTCCAAGAAATCAAATTTTCTTAATCTTATAGAAGTAAGCAAAATTGACCTCCTTCTCAGATAATGTGTGCCCATCAGCCATCGAAGCCTTCAGTCTTCTTCGTTTTGCTTCATATAATCTCGTCTTCTCCTTTATGGCTTCACTCTTTCTGTAAGATTTCTGTATTCCAGTAGCAATTCGCCACTGCCGTGGTAGCAAGGAGGGATCTCTATGTGGAACAAAATATTTCCAAACTGATAACCAGTCCTGTTTAAAAAGCTTGAGGCCTTGGTTTGACCAAGCAATTACAGGATCACAATACAGCATAATTGTGTACTAGTAATCATAATCAAAAGGCTAGTGTCGTCCAATGGAGTCACCTCATAGATCCATGCCTTCTAATCTGCTGTCAATGGAGAAGTTTTCATCCGTCGCACAGCCAAGATAAAGTTGAAAAATGAAGCAGACTATAGAATTCCAATAACAACTATTTAACCAATACCTTCAATTTTATATTACAGAAATATTTCATGACAATATTGTAAAAGATTAGATATCTCAAGATTCGAAAATAAATTTATACACTACTAACCGATATGAATCATCAGACTTTGGCAATGAAACTAAACATTCAATTTATGGTTTTGAACGACCGCCGACTCAATTACCTCGTCACTTAATGTAGGAAGCGTGAAAGAGTGGAAACGAAGCAATAGAGCGAACGCGTACATAGAAAGTGGTCTCTCAGGCGAAAAAAAAGAGGAAAAGGGAATGTTGACCAAGAAGAAGGGCCAACAATTGAAGCTTGAATTTGATCACCTATAGTTCGGAACAGAGGCAAAAGCAACTTAATCGCTCGGCAAGTTCCGCACGTTTGATCTCTAAAGGAAGAATTCAAAAAAAATATTAAAGAAAGATTTCTATACTACCGTAAGTACATTGAGATGGAACGATAACAACAACAACAGAATGCGGGGCAGAAGACTCACCGACAGAGACGGCAAGCCAAGACCACCGGAGCTTCGACGAAGACGGCCAAAATTAGGGTTTCGAAATAATAATATATCCTTTCTCTGCTCGGGAACTGGAAGAAAAGGAGGCGAGGGAATCGGCTGCCGGAAAAAGCTCAAGTTCTTGAGTTCTTCGCCTGCGGTGTAGAAGAGTGGAGAGACGAAGCGGTGACGAGGGGAGGAGCGGGAAGGGTTACCTGCCTTCTTTCCAATCGAGAGCCGTCGTTTACTCGTACGAATTGGTACACGAGAGGCACACAGGTGAGTCCGACCATGGAGGAACGTGTGAATGGATCGGATCTAACCCGATCTGATCCGACATCTGGTCCGATATCACCTAGATAAGGGTCAAGTCTGACGTACTAATCCGAATAAGAGTCGGCCCAATTAGACCGATCTAAACCGGATCGAGACCGGTCGAACTAGTCACGATCCAACCACGACGTGACCCGACCCCTAATAAATAAATAAATAAATTACCACTCGGTTTCGATCAAAATAATAATTTTAGAATAAAAAAATAATATTTGCTTAGTTTATAAATATATAACGTATTCATTATATATAATGATTGATTGATATGTCAGTGTGATTCCATTCTCTCACACTCACAAACTTACAATTACGATTTACTTAATCCTGTGCTAATCTTTTATCCCCTCGTCATGCCAACCTTCCCTGTTGGCATATAAATGTCACCGCCCACACGACCTCTTACAGGCACACGACTCTCCCATGCACCTATAATTAACATCTAATCCTGCCATTATCCATCACGAACATGTACTTAACAATTACTCGCCACAAAAGCTATAGTATTACACCATTATGGCACTTTGTACACTGTTGATAACATAGAAGCTTCTACTTAAGTCTCCTAACTACCTTTACCGTACCCAAAAACAGTAAGCCTGATGCTTCCGCAGCCGTTGGATGGGCGTTACACACGATCACAACCGTAAGTTTACCTTGGCGTCAACCGTGATGAGGTAGACCTTGCTCTGGATCAGCGTTCGGCCCACTTTGAACCCGGGGACTACGGTGAATCCCACCGCGGTGCCTCGACCTGACCCAGCCCCCTCGGCGCCGCCGACACCGCCCTTGTCTTTGCTCTCAGCCGCCGTCACGCTTTCCATGTACACATCGGAGAACCGGCTCCCTCGTCCTACCTGGAAGATGGACCGCTCGGTATCCGGCTCGAACGAGAAGAAGAGGCAATGGAGGAGCCACATTCGTCTAGACATCTCCGCAAACGCGGCAAAGAACTCGGAGCCCGGAAAGCCCCGTCCCGAGCTCACCATCGCCCTCTGATCAAGGTCACCGAATAAGGAGGATTCCATCTTCGGATGCACCAGCGATAAGTACTTGGCCCTGCAGAACCGCGCCACCGGCGACGGCAGGCCGCCTAGACTCTGGTTCATCGCAATTGACTTGAGCCTGGTGAATTCGTTGAAGAATTGTCGGCGATCCCACGCCAAGCATTCCTCCAACGTGCCAATACCGAAGTTTTGGTGGTGTAAGTCGGAGAACATCCTCAGGCAGACGTAGGATTCGAATGCAAAGGTCCGGTGGCTGGGCTCTTTTTCGCGGAGCACGTCCGGTTGGATGGAGCCGGCGGCAGTGTCTAGGTCCCAACCGGCAGAATCCATCTCCTTCACCATTAGTTGGACGAAGAATCTGATCGATTTGAAGGCGTAGCGCAGCGCAGTGAGGAAATGTGTGGGGTTGAGGCCGGAAAGGTGGAGACCGTCGAGTGCGGCGAGAGAGCGGTTGGGATGGAGCTTGGCATCCAAAGCCTGGGCCTTTCTCTCGGATTCGAGGAGACTGGCTTGGTGGGCGAGGATCTCGGAGCCCTTCAGGTCGAGCTCGGCCTCCAGCTTGTGGGTGGTGATGCTGTAGGTCCTGGTGAGGTTGCGCAGCTCTTGGAGCTGCGCGGCGAGAGCCGGCTGTAAAATCGGATTGGTGCGAGGGTCGAACTGGTTCCTGAAGAAGGACTGCTTCAGCACCGATATGTGTTTCAGCCCGGCAACGACAGCACCATCCGCAGACTGTATCAACTCCGAATCATATGAAGACTGCGCCACCTGAAGCTCGGCGTAAGCGGCCTTGACGGCGGAGATGCTGGCGAAGAGGTTCGCGAGGAGGGACTCCATGGCCTCCAGATCACCGGAAGAACCACTCTTCTGCTGCTGCAGCTGCCGCTTCTCATCTTCAGGTTTGTGGAAGCCTTTGTCAGGGGGTTCGGTGAGGATGCCAGAATAATCTCTGACGTCTCGAGCGAGCTTAAACTTGTGGATCGCATCGTAATCGTCAGGAGCGGCGTCGGCGGAGCCACCGGTAGAGCTGGCGGCTGACCTTCGCAGGCGGAGGATCTTGGTGATCGTCCGAGCCACTGACCCGAAATTTGGCGGCGGCGGCGCTGCTCTCGAAGGCTCCATCTCCTTCACCAACTCTCACAGAGAGAAGCAGCAGCAGCAGCAGCAACAGTGAGATTTAAGAGCACTAATCAGAATGACTCCGATATCTGTGAATACAAAAATGTAAAGGCATGTAACGCTATATAATCTATGAGAGAGTGGATTCTGGGGAATCACTTCATGAAGCAGGAAGAAGCACGACATGATAAAAATCGATTAAAGGAGGGGCCTTGCCTCGCATTAAAGAAGTGAAAAATAAGATTAATCGACGCAACATGAACATGTCTGCACCACAGCTTGCAGAATCATGTGTGTATGAGGCGTGCCTCCACACAGCAAAAAGTGCCCCCAACCCTTCTTCTACGAAGACCAACACAGTGATCGTGGCCCCGTGCGAAGGCTACGTTCAATAAGCGAACACAGAAAATTCGGAGGCCACGCTCACAGCCCTACTTTTCTCGGGTTGATGACCCCATCAAAATCTTCAGCAAATTCTTTTCTCCTTACATAGCGGAAACCCGTGAAAGAGTTCAGATGCGTTCATCGTCCAAACTAATAGGGTCTGCCATCTAGAAACAATACAAGTACCGGAAAAGTCTAGTGTTTATACATCAAAGATGTCTTCACCATCACTGACTTCAAACAAAACAAGGGGATCCCTACAGTACTATGGCAAGCTTCAGATCACAGATACTATAATTGCCAATTTTTTACCTAAGATTTGATTTTTTATGTAGTTCTAAATGGCATCGTTCTTGAAATTTCACCACCAATCATCAGGCGTTTTCATAAATTGTGCATATTTCGTTATTTGCCAACACATTTCTCATCACCAAGAAAAATAAAAAGGGGAAACTTTACGGCAAGAAAAAAGGCGACATTTTTGTCCAAGAAACCAAGAAGAAGAAAGTTTATGGATTACCGGACAAGAGATCGGTGGCAGGGAAGTATAAAATCCGCTTTTGATGCCCTAATTTCCATTAAAGTATCCTAAAACCCAAAACTTTTGACACCGAGAATAAAAAATTGAAAAAGAAATGAGGAAATCGCTAAAGAGAAGGTTTTCGTTGCAGAGATTTGGGAACTCACCAGAGGTCTCAAAAGGGGCGGTAGCAGCAGAACCAGAAGCGGACTTCCGCTCTCTCCTTCACCGAGCCCTCCGATTACGATCGCTGTGCTTCAGATCCGGTACTTGACTAAAACCAACACAAGAGGAATCCCCATTACGGATGTTATCGATGGCGAAAGCGACTTCAAGAGAGAATCATTGATGGATGACCTTCTCCCTCTACGACCGGCGCTTCCTCGAGATCCAATCGAGGAAGAGAGAGTAAAGCGAAGCCGACGAAATAGCGAGGGCACTCAGGGCAGCCGCGCGCAGAGGTGACGGGAGCACTGAGCAGAGCACAGAGGCGTTGGGAAACGCGGCATCGCGAATGGCAGAGCCATCGGATATTTACCCGAATCACGGAGCAAGAGCTGCCTCGCACGACAGTCTCCCCTCATCGCTTCGAGATTCGTTCTTTTCGTGATCCAATGGTTAGTAAACAACGCCTAGGATTACCCACGTTTCTACGTTTTGACGCGTGCCCCACATCCCGAAAATACCCCAATACTACCTAAATTTCCAATGATACCCCCGCTTTGAACGGCAGTTGGAGGAGGGCGTTATCGTCATTATAAGATATTTTGGGGAATCGGTGGATAAGTGAGACCCAGCTGGATCTTCGGGTAGTCGGTTGGAGTCAACGAAGGATCCGAATCCGATAAGTCTATCATTACCCACCATCTCGTGGTCGAGATCACGGAGCTCCATTTAGACACCACATAACATAGCTACATCTAGATACCTATACGATGTGGATGATATTATCCAGAATTAAATTAAATTTATCTTATTTTTTTTTATTGGAGTTCGATAGAGTAAGGTTTGCTCGAATGATATTATCTAGTCCAGTTTAATTATATTGAATTAGTAGAAGCATTATATGGAATGCTCCAACATGATTCCTATATAGATCGATAAGATGAGATAAAGTTTAAGTTTAGAAGAAAAAAAAAATGTGCATCCCTAGTTTACAAATCAAAATAATTAAGTACTATTATAAGTCAAATCTCCATAGTTCTCGAACTCATTTTGATGAGCTTATAATATGATGTTATATTCATGAAGAACCCATTTTTATGTCAATTATATTTCTCATTTTGACGAGCTTATAATCCAATGTTATATTCGTAAAGAACTTACTTATAAACCTGATGTAGGGGATGAGAATAATAAGTACTGCACAATGATTAAAAAATTTTTTTGTATAAATCCCAGTAGTTCATCAACTTACCTCTTAAGTTTTGCATACTCAATATAATTCAATCGATAGTGGAGCAAATTAGGTAAGGAAGCTCTAAGAGTAGCTTATTCCTAGAGGTAACTCCTTAGGGGTAATGCCAGAAAAATCTTTTAAATTTTTTTAAACATTAGGGAGTAACTTGGTTCGAGATTCATGGGGAGGCTCTCTAGCTATTATGACAAAAGCAATTATCAAATCTTTTAACTCGACGAGGATGGGTGCTATATAGGCTCATTTAGTTTTGATATAGCAATCTAAAGCTCTTTATGTCCTCTTGGATATCATAATGGTGTGATGGTATTCTGATCCTCATTAACTCTTTATAATAGAAAAAAATTCACATTCGATAAATGAAAATTAAGATACTGCTTAGGAGATTTAGGTCTATCAATTATAACTCCTCTAAAATCCATGTATCTTCAATGCTAGATTGTTCATATCATCAGAGGATAAGGTATAGAATGGAAAAAAGATAGTGTAGGACATCTCACAATTGAAAACTCTCTCCCCACTTAAGTATCTCACTTAAGGTTATTGGTATCTGCAAGCACTCAATTTTTCATTCCTTCTTAAAATGTGGGTGACGGGTTTATAATGTTTTTATAAAAATGAATGTCTCTTCGATGAGTAACATGTATCTTCTTTAAGAAAAGAAGTGAGCAAGGGATCTATAGGATGAAAATAAATATCCAGATGAATATCACGTACCCTCTTTATATAAAAAAAAAATGATTAAAGATTCATAAGATGACATAAAAGAATAAAATATATATAAAATGATATAAAGTATGTCATTAGTGAAAATAGATTAACAAGAAACTCATAATAAAATCCATAGAATGATGAATATGGATTCACAGAACGAAGATGTTAACACAATTTAATAAATTTTCAAAGTGTCCTCTCTCTCTCTCTCTCTCTCTCTCACACACACACACACACCACTCTTCGATTATCCTCCATCTCTCTTCTTTTGTTATCATTCACACCTTTTTGTTCATTTTGCTTTTCATTTACCTATCTCTGTCACCTGTCTTTCTCTCTCCTTTCTTTTTTTTTCTTTTCTGTCACATCTTTTACATAACTGTGTTTTCTTATAATCATTATTTTTTATCAATCAACTCATTGGAGTTGTAAGTTTATATGTTTCTTTATCAACTATCATGAATTCATTATATAGCACAGAGGTATTGCATAATTATAATTTTGCTATAAAATTTAAATTATTTTCTAAAATAAAAAAGTGAAAATCCTCATCTTTATTTTATGTAATGTATAAGTACGATTTTATGTTTTAAATATGCTATATATCAAACATATGGTCTGATCGATTGTCCCACTTTGTCCAACTAATGAACCCATAGTAACTATGCTGTATAGGGTTTTACTACCTTCATGACTCCATATCAAGTGGATGTACAGCTCCTCTCTCTCCTGCCCAAGTAATACTTCCAACAAAGCCGGACATCAGCACACACACACTCTCTCTCTCTCTAGGATCAGAATGAAGAAAAAACACGTATAAAGTGAACTGTTGATGGCCACACAGTGTCGTGAATTTTATTTGAGGCCAGCTTGCACAACAAGTGTCTCTTTCTTCTGGACTCACCGTGTTGTCTTCTTCAAGAAAACCTTGGGACAGTTAATGGACGTAACAATAATGCCACACGCTACTGATGCATCTGCTTGTCGTCGTAATCACCACCGGCTGAGCCTGGCGGTGTAGTTTTGTTGCTGAGACTGATTGCATTAAACATCGATTGATATGGGCCAATGAAGTTGCCGTGTTGTGTGTGGAAAGAAAGAGGACATGAGCTATCATTTTGAGTGACATTAATGAGAGTATAACGACATGGCAATGACTGCATCAAGTATCAGCCACCCAAATGAGCTGAAGAAATAGCATGGCCTGTGCACCATCAGTTTTTAGAGAGAGAGAGAGAGAGAGAGAGAGAG